AAAAATAAATAAACATTAGACTTCTGTGGATTTTTTTTTTTTTTTAAAGTAATCTCTGCACACGACATAGGGATCAAACTCACGATCCTGAGATCAAGAGTCACATACTTTACTGAGCCAGCCAGGCAGGCTGGATATTTTTTTCTAACTCCCAAACTGAGGGGATTAAATTTCTTGAATGATCAGGTTGTTCTTGGATCCTTGGGTCATTTCATGTCCAGTGTGGGCTCTCCATACGTGTCTGATACCTCCTCTCATTCATTGGGAGAGAACTTTATGGAAGCATAATGAAATTTTCTCTCCTGTAGAGACGATGTCGAACCCTCAAGGCCAAGGGAATCCTGTTTGTGGGGAGCGGAGTCAGTGGCGGAGAGGAAGGGGCCCGCTATGGCCCCTCACTTATGCCAGGAGGTGACAAAGAAGCCTGGTGAGTATCGAAGGTGCCCCACTTTGGCACAAGGGAGGCCCGAGCTGGGAGAAGGGTGAGCTGGGGACACTTCTGGCACCCTGACCTCCGAGGTGCCTGAGTGTCAGAGATGCTGGAAAGGTTTCTTTTATCCACTCTGCTGCTTTGACATCATACACGTGCATATTCTCTTTTGCCTGTTTACTTCTGTTACTCCCTCCAAGACTGATATAGAAATTCTAAATAGGCTTACAGAGTTCAGAGGCTTTAAGGAAGCTGTTCGCATAGCGTCCTGTGCACTGTCTGGACTTAGAAGTAAGGTCTGCCTCTATAAGTGATGTACAGTTCTAAGATAGCTGTGCATTTAATAATTGTGGGTAATGGAAAAACCTGACAGAGCCCATTTTGTCCCTGGGAAAGCGAGGTGGACATTCTTTATTTGATTTGGGGCAAAAACACACTTTACACTGTTTGCTGTGCTTCATATAAGAGGAGGTGTTGGCCATAGAAGGGGAGGTGTGTTGGAGATGTGAAAGAAGGGGTGCATGAGGCGTAAGGGTGGGGGGTGAGCGGAGAGAGAACCAACACAAACAGATGGAAGGGATAATCCCACCTGCCGTTGGCTGAGGGCAACTCCCCCCGCTGTTCAGACCGCAGAGAGAGAGAGAGCCAGACAGAGGGAGATAGCTGAGCAGAACAGAAGCAAGCAGAAAAGGAGGATCCTTTTCAGGGAGGCCTGACAAGGTACCATTCTTTTCTGAATGAATTTGACTTCCAAATATGCTACAGTTATGTCAGGTGTTAAAGAAAACATGTTCAAACCTCATTCCCAGAGGTAAAGGGTTTTCCTGGGGAAAGTTATTCTTTCTGTTGCCTCTCTGAGGAGTAAGTTTGGAGATTCTTTTTTTCATTAAAACAAAAATTTTTTTTGGCAATGTTTTCTTTATTTTTTTGAGAGAGAGACAGAGTGCAAGTTGGGGAGGGGCAGAGAGAGAGAGGGAGACACAGAATCTGAAGCAGGCTCCAGGCTCCAGGCTCCGAGCCATCAGCACAGAGCCCATTTCGGGGCTTGAACCCACGAACCATGAGATCATGACCTGAGCTGGAGTTGGTCACTTAAGTGACTGAGCCACTCAGGCGCCCCAAGTTCGGGGATTCTTTTACGTAAGTTACATCTGGAAGTAGATAGAAGTCTTCCTGCTTCTGAGAAGCTTATGAACATTTACGTGGGGGTAACAGCCTGGCAGGCTAGACACGCAGACATGACGCAGGAAAGTATTTGATGTGCACAGGTGCCCTGCATTTCCTCGCACCGGTCTGGCAGAGGTGCAAGTGACGCTGTGACCTGACGTGCTCCCCATGAGATCAGGAGAGTTCTCAAGCTCCGCATGTCACTGTCTTAGCCCTAATTCTAAGCGTTAGCTCTGCGACCCCGTCAGTTCTGTGTCTTTGTCAAACACTTCTTGTGAAGGAGCCTTTAGTGGTCAATAGTGAGGAGAACATAGGCGAGAAGCCCCGTGAGGTAACCTATCCTCGTACAGGAGCAGCAGAAGGAATGAAGAACACCCGGTTTTTCTCTGAATAGTAGTGGGCGCAGCCCCGGGAGGTCCTGCACGGTTCCACCAGGCAGAGCCGGGCTGTATCTGACCACACGCACCCGGGCTGGGAGAAGGGCTCTCTACAGGAACATCCCTGTGGCCCGCTGTTTGGAACCACAGCTTCTTTTGATTGTGCAGAAGAAATTTCTCCTGATGCTTTGATGCTTCTTCTGGCCTTTCTGTCTGTCCGTCTGTCTGCTCTAATCACAGAGCCCGCAGCCTCTGACAGGTTTCCGTTGGCACTTCTGGCACATGCGTTACTTTTTTCCACCTCCCATTCAGCCTCTCCATTTGAACAAAATTGGGGGTGGGGGGATAGTCCTTGAGTATCTTGAGATCTCAACCCCTCTCTTTTCAGTAGCTAAACTACACGGTTCCTTTCCACAGGCCCCACATCAAGACAATCTTCCAAGGCATCGCTGCAAAAGTAGGAACTGGGGAACCGTGCTGTGACTGGGCAAGTTCTGGCTACTCTTTCAAGCCTGCTGGTAACATGGGCACAGGTGTCGCAAAGTGCACAGAGCCAGGACGCCCGTGGTGGCAACAAGCGGCTCAGATGTGAGGTCACGAAGTCGCTAGCACAGCTGAGGCCCAAGATGCTTGCCTGTGTTACATGTCCTTGCATCTTAACTGAACGTTCAGAGCCTTGAGGCTGATGTTAAAAACAGCCCTCCTCGATTCATCTGAAAGCTGGGTTCTTTAAGAAGGCACAGCAAGGATGAGGGGAAGTGAGGTTTGTTTTAGCTGTGTGGCTTCAGGAAAATGACGAAGATGTCAGAATCCAAAGGGGGCCTTGTCTGCCCACGTGGAAGGGACTGACTGGCTGGTGCTGTCAGATATCCTGGCCCCGGCCGTGGAAAATCTCGTACCTGTAGCTTGGGATGCAGGTGCCCTATGCTTGAACAGAGCACACTATGGCCTCTTGCCTTCACGAAATGGGAGGGAGGCCCAGGCTCGTTCATACAGACCTCTCTTCCGGCATTTTGTGTTGCTACTGGAATAAGTTTTATCCCTACCGCAGCCTCAGTCCATACCTCGAGGCTGGGAGACCTGAGCTGTAATTCTGGCTCTCCATTAACTGGGTGATCATGAGCAAGTCAGAAAATTCCGTGGGCTTCAGTGTTCTTGTCTGTAAAACGTGGGGGGTGGGCTGGATGGTCGCTAAGGTCTCTTTAGCTCCTAATCCCCTTTGTTAGTTTTATTTCATCCCAGGGAGGTAAAGGGTGGAGATGAACCGAGGACTGAGGCATATGAAGAATGGGGGGGGGGCCTGACCACGCCCGGTGACTTCAACTGTAGCACCCACACTGGTCTGTACATTTTCACCAGTGGTCACTGTCTGCTTAGGGTAGAGAGAGGCTGGGCTGGATTTGGAGGGCTGATGATTTTCTCCTTAGTATGAAGGACTGGGAAGGGACCTCTTAACGCCTTGACAGTCAATTACTACAGTAAAAGTACAGCGACAGTCACTTCTTTGTAGATACGCTTAGGATAGAAGCGTCAAGAATTCTGTCCTAAGCGTATCTACAGATACAGATACTGGCCCTGAGGTGTCTTGATTGAGTCTTTCCGTAGCCTCAAGGCTTTGTCTCGGGATACTGAAAGAACTGGGTTAGATCCTAAAAGCAGGCACTCCTTAGTTCACTGGTGAAGTCACAGCCAGGATGGGGTGAAGTAAGATGTTACTCATCACGCTCCTTAGCAGCCACAGAAAGTGTCACAGTCAGCAGGAGGCAGGTCACCAGTGGAGACACCGTGGAGGTCTCTCTAAACGTCAGCAGTATGGATCCCGGCGGTGACAGCCAGGATAGAGCGTGCTCAGGTCCAGCAAACACTGGGTCCAGCCGCAGGTAGGTGCCTGTCGTGGAGACGGATGCACCTGACCTCAGAGCCCGATGCCCCTGAGTACTGACCCCGACACTCCCTTTGTTCTGAGTCCCCGCCCACTACACCATTTGCAGATTATTTGGCTTCCCCCGTAGCTTGTCTGCAGGGACAGAGTGTGCCGGCCGGACTCACACTTGTAACTACTAAGATCCATAGTTAAGTTTCTCACCCTCAATGCATAAACTGGGACTCTGACTATATACATCTTGCCAGCTTTGTTAGAAATCAGTGTTTTTTGTCAACCGTGAGACCCTGGTGAGGACACATTTCTGGGCTTACGAGGTGGAGGGCCAGACCTGGGATCTAAGGTCACTTTACCCCTTGGTTGCCACTGGAAACACCTACAACACACTTAGTATTTTTAAAAGTACAAGGGATTTAATTAGCTGACTTACTATAACCCCCGGTCACCAGGAGCATGGTGACCTCAGGAGGAGGAGGAGGAGGAGGTCTTTGACTCGTGGCCAGGGCTGGGGGCGAGGGGCCCTGAGTAACAAGGGAAGGTGGGAAATGCAGGTAAAGGGCTGGGGGTGCCGGCAGTGAGTTGAAAGGTGTGGAAGAATCTAGAATGAATTTAGAGTGAGTTTGAAGTAACACGGGGCTGGATTGAAGCTTGTATTGAGTTGCTCCATAGCGATTCTTAATTTTAAAAATACTACAGATATTTGCTTCGTCGCTGTCGTTCCTTGTCTGGGGAGGGTGCCTGGCGAAAGAATTTGATGTGGGCTTCTCTGGGCCATTCCTCCGGGCCGTCTCTGAGGCCTCCTGGTGCCCGTCCCTCTAACAGGTGGGAGATGAAGGAGCGGGACACTTCGTGAAGATGGTGCACAACGGGATAGAGTACGGGGACATGCAGCTCATCTGTGAGGCCTACCACCTGATGAAAGACGTGCTGGACATGGGGCACGACGAGATGGCGAAGGTGAGTCCCGGGCCCTGCTGCGGGTGCGGCAGGCGGGCCTGCTCAGAGAAGGGACTTGCTGGCTCCAGTAAAGCCTTCCTCCTCCTCCTTCCCGCGGTCGTGCCGCTGGCAGGATGGGCTCAGCCCGGTCGGAGGGAAGCTATAAGATGGGAGAGCTCGTCACTGAGCCGAACGTCCCCAGGGGATCTTGGTGGTAACCGTTCCCACCGTTTACTGACCCTTTTTTTTTTTAAGCTTATTTTTAGAGAGCAAGAGAGCAAGTGCATGGGGCCAGATGCAGGGCTCGATCTCGCGAACCATGAGATCGTAACCTGAGCTGATATCGAGTCGGATGCTTAACCGACTGAGTCACCCAGGTGCCCCTCTTTTTTTTTTTTTTT